TGCTCGATGTGGTAGACAAGATCCGTTCTATCGGAAGTTCTGAATGATTGCATAACCAATGCCACCAACTCTCGTCCCTTCACGATCACCCCTTGTTGATGCCGTAGTTCAGAGTGTCGTGTGGCATCGAGGTATACGTCTTTGGCTTCGTCAGGTGCTTGTTTCAGCATGTTCTGCATGCCCATGGCCATCTTAATATCTATCGTAGCAAATCTGTCGCCACCTGAATCGCTAAGCATATTCAGGTCTGGGTTCAACCCAAGAGCCTGCTCCAACCATTTCGTCCATGCATCGGTATCTGGATCCGCACATGCGCTCAGAACATTCATCAGCAGTTGCATCTTCCAGCTATCAAGCTGATGGATCTTTGGCCAAGCCGGAATAGATACTCTCTCGGCCTCCTTCCTCGAGATCCTCGGTCGATCATCCTTGATCTCTCGGTTATCTCTCGATCTCCTTCGTCTCCTCCGTGTCCGATCGTCGTCTTCCTCTTCTTCTTCTTCCTCGTCTTCTTCATCTCTTTCGTCGTCGTCATCCTCATCCTCATCATCGGGTGGATCATCCGGAGGTCCTCCTCCGCCACCAGCGAGGCTCAACTGACGTCGACCTGCTCCCTGCCCATTCCTGTTGGGCGGGAATCCACCGTAATCCAATGGGGGCGTAGTACCGTTGTTTCCCCCTCCATCGCCGCCACCAGTCGCAGTAGTGGATTGTGGAACATGTCCGACAACTCCTTGCATCTGGGATAGGTGTACATCGATCATTGGATCACCGAAAGACGGAAAGAGGATCGAACCTGGCATCAGCGACGAATTAGGGATCTGAATTGAAGACGATGACGGGACTGACCCAGCCACCTTCTTGTCTACCCTAGTTGAATTAGCTTGGGTTCCTCCCTCAGCGCGTTTCACTACTGCTCGTTCACGATGTCCATCTTTGCTGTTGGAGGCTTCCTGTGTCTCCAGCTTCTTGTGTGCACGTAGTTCCTCGTTGTCAGCATCGAGTTGACGTACAAAACTCTCTTCTTGCTTGAGCGTCGCCTCTCTTTCCTTCAGTTGTCCCTGAAGCTCATGCATCTCCTCGAGGTACTCATCGTACATTCCCTTAGCTGTCAATCTCCAGTACTCAGCCTCCTTCGACTTCTCGTCCATCGTGCACCGTTCTTCTTGTTTCTCTTCTTTGACCTGGGCTAACTCCAAGATCGCATCTTGACGATGACCACCTTCGACAGCAATCATCTGGTCCTTCATCGACACGTCGGATTCATACTGTTTGACGATCTCTTCCTTTTCGCGAAGCAAGCAATCTGCTCTCTTCGACTCTTGTTCCGCAAATACTGTAACGTCATTCAGTCTCGCCATCAGCTGTTCCCTGGAGTCCTCCATAGAGTACGTCTCGGGGCGCTTTACGAGTGCGTGCTCCAACTGTGATTTCAGACTTTGGACCATCTCCTCCTCGTTGAACTTCTCGATAGATGTAGAAGATTCTATGCCTCTGATCTGTTGCTGATAAACTGATATCTGCTGTGAAGCTTCACGGTGTATCTGATTTGCACGTATAGCTGATTCCTGCGCAGCCGACTTCTCGCTTGCCATGTAGGATTTCATCAATGCAATTTCCCGCTTCTGCTCCATGATAGTTCCTTCAGCTTGTCTCATCTGTTGCATTATAATATTCGACTCCATGTCTTTCTTCTCCCCGTACTGAAATGCGTTCATTTCCACCTTGCGCATCTGTTGGGCTTCTTCCTCAAACTTGCGCCATGCCTCAGCCATGTGGTGTTGGTGGTGACTCACTAGATGTCCCGACTGCTTGCTAGCAATCTCGCATCGTCTCTCCAGCTCCTGGATCCGGATGGTGCTTCCATAATCTTCCTGATGAAGATTCGCCATAGCTGCCGACATTTCATCAAGTGTCTTTTGATATTCCCCGATCTCCACCTCCATCTTATTCTTCTCTTTGATCGCGGCGCGAAACTCCGCACTGGTGGGTGATTTTGACCTCCCACCCTTCGACGTCGATCTCACGCCCTTCTGCGACGTCCGTGGTGTCGCAGGCGAAGATGATGATCTTCTCGGTGGGGATTCTCTTTGCTTCGATTCCTGACGAATATCGATCTGCTTCCATGATCTTGTGGGAGTAGATATGTCGCTGAATAGCGCGGAACCTCCGCTCCCAGGTTCATCCTGTGAATCTGCAACCATATCCATCACCGCAGGAAGAGCCATCAATCCATTGGATCCCTCTGAGCTGCTGTTCCCAAAAGTTGCAGTACTTGGGCTCGCCGAAGACGCCATTGTACTGTGTATGTTATCGTTCCTTTATTGTCCCTGTACCCGCAATAAACCAGCTGTCTCCCAGTCCAGTGTAGAGCTTGTAGTTACGGCTGATAACCTGTCAAGAGACGGCAAGGTGACGTCCCGTGGGACGCTATGCACCGAACCCTCAAGCTGTAATACCAACCACGTAGAAAGGTGTATACGGACGATGCCGTTATAGCCGAACCCGTGTAAACGTTGTAAGGGAGAAGGAATGATAGTTACAACAGTGGTCCTGACAAATGCAGCGCAAGCGAAGTGTTTTCCGCTCTCAATGCCGATCACGTATGTATGCAGTTACACATCAGATCTTGAACCTCAATTGTGTCTTGAGCCAAATGGCGATCAATGGAACTTGGGAAGCAACACCAACAAGGACCTCAGAACAGCTACCCAATTTCGGCACGGGGCCTAGAGGGTTTTAACACCCTCGGAGTTGATTCCTTCTGGGCTTCAGCGCCGACCTCCTTCTTGTCCCCTCCTTCGGTACCGACCTTTGCCACCTTCGGCTTTCGGTCCGGGCTAGCCTTCACAGCGACAGGACAGTCCTTCCGCAGGTGCTCACTCGCCCCACAAGACCAACACCTCATCTTTTCATCCTTTTGGTCGTGGCTCCATCTGCACCCACGCCCTCGTCTGCAGCCCTTTTCCGAAAGGAAGAACTTGCAGGGCCGGACGTCCTCTCCAGCCTTCTTCATTTAGCCGTCCACGGTGTCCACCTTCTTGACCTTGGCGTCCACCATCTGAGTCTTTGTCGCCGGCGTCTTGACCTCCTTCTCCAAATGAGCGATGGCCTCCACCTCCGACAACGCATGCTCCGCGTACTTCTCCACTGCCTCGTGCGATGGAATGGAATCCAGCTGTAGCGCATTCCTCGCCAAAGCCATTCTGAAGGCGAGTTCCGGCTGCAACTCCAGCACCTTCTTGATCATCTTGTTGAGGGACCGGGCCAACACCGTCGGATCCGGGATAGTAACCCCCAACTCCTGCGCCCGTTGCTTCCACCTCATCCACTTTCTCAGACCAACCACCAAAGACGCCAGAGAGTCCACTTCCGGGGGATTCTCCAAGTTCTGCAAGATCACCCCCTTCTCCACCAGACCTCCCGGCTGATAGCTAGCCATGAGCTTGCAGAGGATGGCGTAGCACGTCATAGACTTCGTCGCCACCATCTCTTCCTTGGCTCCTTCTGGAAGAGCTCGTAGGATCAGTCCCACTGCCCTCCGTTCCAACCTCCTCCACCGGGCTTCTTGAAGTTCCGGAGGATCCTTCGGCTGCAAGCGAAGCCTCTCCAGCGGCGGCGTGGTCTGGTACTTCGCGTACCATACCCTTGCCGATTCCACCACCTTGTGCCACCACTGGTGCGATGACTCACTGAGATCCGCCATGATGGGCTCCAGGACGCAAATCCAATCTCCCAGATCGATCGGCGCGCTCTCCGGCCGATACTCCACCAGCTTCGGCAGCTCATAGCGCCACTCTTCACCAGCTCGCTGTGATCCTCGACCCCATCTGGCTTTTTCTGCTGGTTGAGCATCTGCTGCTGCGTGATCTGCATCCCTTGGACAATCTTCAGCATGATGTCCAGCGACTGTCCCTTTTCCCCACCAGGCTCATCTTCCCTCATCTCAGAAGACTCCTCTTCTTGATCAGCAGGTTCTCCTGTTGCTCCATGGCCTTCTGGGGTTCCATGCTCCTCAGGGGTTGCGAACCTGTCGCTCTGATCTCCTCCTCGTGCAGCTCCTTGTTCAGGCGGTTGCCACTTCTGCTGCATATCTGCTACCTTGTTCAAGCAGTGCACCACCTCCTTCTGCAGCCTCCGGTTATCGGCCATCAACTGCACCATGTAGTAGCGCATCTCCTGCATTGGATCAGGCCATTGAGCAAATCGAGGGCCTCCATCAAGTCCTCCAGGTCCAGGTAGAGCCGGCTGTGGGGGTCTTTGTTCTTGCCATTGGGCAACCCGAGCGCCTTCGGCATGTTCCCCTGGTACCGGTAGAGCAAATTGTTGTGCTGCCAGCACCAACTCCTTCTTCTCCAACATTTCCTCGTTGGACCTCTCGATGTAGGTCTCAAAACCCTCTCTGCTTCCTCCAGCTCCAGTCGAATGGATCAGCGGCGCCTCTTCCGTCCACTCATCGAGCCGTTTCATCTGCTCGGGCGTGAACAGCGCTGCTGGTACTGGCTCCATCGCCAGCGGCTCCCCCTGCGGCCCTCCAGGCCATTGGGTCGAAGCTCCTGCCTCCACCACTCCATCCGGCCTGGCGACCAGGGTCTCCATCACCTCTTCCACCACCGGGCCAGGTCCATTGCTGCTCGACCCCTTGCCCGCGGCCTCGTTGGCCTCCAGCGTTCTTATCCTCCTGGATCTCCCCGATCCAGTGGCCATAGCTGCGTGGTCGCAGTCACCTAACGTGACTTGGGCTCATAACCTGTGGCAGACTGCCCTGGGCGCATGTTTTCACTGCGCCTTGTGTCAAAGCGGCTGCGTCGTGTATGCAACCTTCTATGTACTGTTCCAAAAAACGGGCGATCCATGCCCATGTGTTTGTTGCCCTCTCATCTGCAGGGCGAACCTCTTCCTGAAAACCTGCGGAACAACAAGAAGAACCGCTGCAACCCAAATCCTTTGGGCCTGCCTGTAGACCGTCAAATGCCGTCAACACATCCCCAGCGCCCGAGTCAACGCGTCTCCTCTGTGATGAGCGTGATCTCCGCCTGCCCCGCCGGAGTCGCCGCCTTGCATGCCCGATGCCCCTAGGTAGGAGCTCCCAAGTTGATGGGTCTGCAGTTTTTGACGGGATGGGCGGTGTTGCTTGTGTTTTCCTTTGAAAACCACCAACAAAGGCATATACCCTCAAAAATGACACATCCATGTGTCAGCAAGAAATATAACACCACTTTGGAGCCCAGGCTTTTCTTATGGGTGCGCTCTTGGCATCTGAGCTCCTCTAAGCGAAAGCCTCTGCAGCCATGGCAAACGGATTCCATTGAAGCTCCCAAGTTCACAACTGGTCGACTGCGAGACAAAGGGCGCCTGACCTGGCCAGGGAGCTGTCGAGCTGTCCCTCCGACCTTCAACCGCCAGAGTGCACTCTGTTTTCGGATTCGGGGAAACCAATTGACACCAAAGCCACAAACCTGAAACCTTCTCAAACACAAAATTCTTCTAATTGAGCACCCAAGTACCACCCACAAACTTCAAAAAACAACTCAAGCAACCTCAGGGAGCTTCAAGTTTGCCACATTTTTTCTTCCACGAGTTCCCCCCACACCCCCACCGCGCTTCCAACGCCCAGGCCCTTCGGTCCCCGCGCCGAAAGCGGCAGCGCCAGCAGCTGCTGCGCCACGAAGTGGCCGTAGAGCAGCGCCTCCGGCGCCGCCGGCGCCGCCGCCTCCTCGCGCAGTTCGCGGAAGGGAGTGAAGGCTTTTGATCGCCCAAAGGCTGGCTTGGTGGGGTGGTCTTGTGACCAAAGAGCCAAAAGCTTTTGGGGCAAAAGAAGGCAACAAGTTGGTAACTGCAAAAGCAACACATGTCAGCGTCCCATCGCGTCGCAAGATTTTCTCAGCTCTGATGGAGCTACCAAGATTTTCATTCAACCCCATCTTTCAGCTCCCCATGCAGAGGGTTTGGGAGGGTTGAGGGGGTTCCCATTTACCCTCTGCAAGAAGCCCTGGGAAAGGTTTGGGAGGGTTCAGGATTCCCAATTTCCCCATGCAAGCAGCCAGGGGACCGCAGAGGTTTGGGAGGGTTGAGGGCAACAGCCAGCTTATCCTTTTTCCAACCAAGACAAAGCAGAAGGCTTGGGAGGGGTAGAAGCCAGACCGCAGAAACCTTTGGCTCAGCTTCACACAAAAAGCTCGGTGGTTTGGTGGGGTGGTCTCCTTATCGTTGCCAGAGCAGAGCCAAAAAGCAAGGGCAACATCTTCAAATCCTTCTTCGACCAGAAAGAAGGCAACAAATTGGCAGCTCCAAAATTCAAAAGGAACACCCCATGTCCACTTCTCCTTCAAAAAGGGTCCTGCAGCAGCTGGGATCCGCAACACCATCTGATGAGAAGGGCAGGAGTTCATTGGTGGTGAGCCCGGTTTGGTGGTTAGAGGGGTGGACCAAAGGGCAAAAACAGCCAGGCTCCGATGCACCTCGTAAGACTACTTTCCGCTGTGCTGGGGTACCTCAAAGAGGGAGCGGCTGTGCTCTGGGATGGCACGTCGGCGTTGGGTGTTGCTGCACATGGTTGGCTTTTGGACACCTCGACCATTCGAGGCAAGTGTGGGCAAAATCAGAAGTTTTCATGGACCCCCCTTCGCTCAGCTACGTTGTCAGACGGCGACATAGGAAGATCGAGACTCGAGCATGTGCTCGCAGTTGGCAAATTTGGGCATGCGGATTCACCAGCCGACTGCTGGGATGGCTTGCGGGATTGTCAAAGCTGATGTCCATGCTAAATGGGCAAGTGCAAGACAGGAACCTCAAGGGCTTCCGGGCTCAAACCAGAACATGGGGGCCATGCTTGTGCTGAACTCAGACTTCCTGGAAGAGACCCCCCCTCCCCCCGCCCAACAGGCTCCTGCGCCTTCTTAGGGCTGAAGGGCCTCTTCTTGCCCCCGGCCAGAAGCCGCGCTTCCGCCTCGTCCGGCACCGGCACACCTGCCACAGCGCCGGGCTTCCATGCTTCAAATGGATCAACATGAGCATCAGATGCGGCCCCTTGTCTCCAGAAAATATGAATCCCCTTTTCTTCCTGTTGTTTTCTGGAAGCAAGTGGCCGGATCTTGGCTAAACACGAGCAGCTCGGATACGCGTTGTGGGTGCATCTCAAACCCACCATTCCAACCCTTGCGATTCCAAAAGCCTTCTGCAAGAGAGAAGTAGACTCTGGACCCACGTATTCAAAGTCCCGCGAGAATGAGGGCCCAACCGGTTTGTGTAACCTTTATGAAACCAGGTAGAACCACGTGCTGTGGCTTTTTGCAAATTGGGCTTTGGGCGATCAAACGGCTCTTGACGTTCTGCATGCGATGAACAAAAACTGAAGGAAGGAGCATGCCATAACAAATGCCCAAAGAAACTTGCATAATGATGCCGCAATCATACAAGAAACCCACTTTCATGACAATAAGAAACTGCAGACACCTTGCTCACTTGGCGTACGCTTCGGTGCCAACAAGACACGTCCCCCCGTTCCCCTGCCCAGCCCCACCCAACCCGTCAGCCTGGCGCGAGCCCTCCGCAGAGCTCGGCCAGCAGCGTGCGAAGCCACTTGAGGCGCCCGGCGCGGCCTCGTCTTCGCGCGCTCGACGTGGTCGGCGCGTGGCTCGTGCCCGCCGTTTTGGGGCGGCCTTAAAGGGAAACCGAAGGGAAGACCCACCGACATCCCGTTTTGGGGGCGGGTGCCCTAAAAAAAGGACAGGCCGGGTTCCATGGTAAGTGGATGGTGTAAATGCCAATCTAAACCAGAACCTATGTATTGCAAACCTCAAAAGGACAACCTGGGTATCGTTTATAGAAGTTATGTCCATCTTTGAGGTGTCCAAGGTTCCCAATTCAAATTCCATGATTGTTGTGGATTCCACGAAACAGCTGAGCGTGTCTCGTGTCTCAAGGCGTCCACTGTGGGTTTGATCCAACTCTTGTTATGGTAGCCAAACTGTTCACTTTGAATTTCCTGCCCACTAAGGATGGAGTGACCCGACACACACACACACACACACACACCAAAAAAAAAAAAAAAACGAGAAGCAGAAAAACGACGCATGCCCAACCGTTTTGGTTTCAGGCCGGCCCCAAAGGGAAACCACGAGGAACGCCACCATTTGGGTCCCCAAAGTGACACCCCCAGACGGACTGTTGCCCCTCCAGCATTTTCGACGGGTGCTTTGCCATGGGTCGGGGCGACTTTGCCCCTCGGCTCCTGGGGCTCCCGGGGCTCCCGGGGCTCCGGGCCGCAGAGGGCGAAGGCCTTGGCCGCGCCCGCGGCGCCCCGCGCCAGGATGGGGTCGCTGGAGCCCAGCGCCTCGGGCGCCCGCGCCAGGGGCAGGTGCTTCTTTTCTCTTTCTTGTGTGTGTGTGCTTGTGGGTTATTTTATTCCCCAACAGCTGAAAGCTTTGGGGTCTCAGCCCAGATAGGCTCCGGGCTGGTCCGGGGCGGCCCTGAGGTAAGGTTCCACCAGGGTTCCACCAGGGTTCCACGAGGTTCTGCGAGGGCTGCGGGGTGGTGCGAGCGAGCACTAAAAAGAGCACTGCGTGCTGGATATCACCAGAGCTTATTTTTATTATTATTTAGTTTTTTGGGGGGGTGGGGGGGATTTTGGATTTTGGGCGCAAAGCGTTCTGTGGTACGAAGGTTGATTTCCCATGACTGCTTTAGCACTTACTGGAATCCCTTGGCATGGAACCCAAAATCCACTTCTGCACCATGCCCAAGTCCATTGATCAGGAGCTCGGGTTCATAGCTTGGCGGGTTTCCGCGATGAGAAGCTCTGCAGCAGGCTGCAAAATGCTTCAGGTGAGAGTCATGTCGATTGAGTGGGAAGTAACAAATAGATGTTTCCCAGGAGTCTCTGGAAACATATGTCGAAGGCCCCCCTGCGTACATTGTTTGACACTGTGCCTTTTCGGTTTTCCTTCATGTCCTTTGCAACCCTGCTAAACATTAACTTGCTGCAGGGGTCAAAGTAGCTGGAACGCCCAAAAAACTTGGGGCCCTCTTTTCAGGGGCAACCGCACAAACTGCGGGTCATACCCACAATAATGGCATTCCAAAACAAACGAAACTCGAGGGGGTCGAAACATCCCGTTGCCCCGGTGCTTGAAACTCTTTCCCCCAGCCGACACCTGTGGATTTCGTTTCCCCCACACCCCAAACACCCCCAACCCGCCGACACGCAGCCACTGAAACTCAGGAAGTGAGGTTTCCCCCGACCAAAACCCGCAATCAAACCCCCCCAAACCCCCCAAACCCCCCAAACCCCCCAAACCCCCCAAACCAGACCGCGGCGGTCATTAAGGCGCCAGGAGCTGCGGGTGGTGCCACCGCAGCGCCGCAAAGGCCTCGCGCAGGCCCGAGGCCAACGCCAACGGCAGCGCCTCCCGCGAGAGGCGCGCGCCCGGGGCCAAGGAGGGGAGGCGTGGTTGAACCCCCGGGAGTTGGGAGGAATCTGGAGCAAACCTGAGAACCCGGCCTCAACTCCTGGAAGATGAAAACTTCAGAAACTTAGGCCATCTGCAATCTAGACTTGCGGGAAATCGCACTTCTTCCCTTCTCTTGGCTCATCCGCCGCCCAGCTGCCGGCCTGGGGTTCCTTCCGCGCCAAGGTCTGCAGCAGCAGCCCGGCCCGCAGCTGGCGATCCCCCAGCAGCACTGTGAAAGCTGCCTGTCGTTCGTGTCACGCACGTTGACGAGGGGCAAGAGACATGCAATCCGCTTGATGCGCATGAAGCCCGCAATATGGCGGCAAGTCAGAGGCAGCATGAGGGGTGACTTCAACACTAGTCGTTTCGCAAGTTTGCAGCTGCCAAGTTTTCCTTGAAGTGAAAGCAGGAAGTGGACGCGGGTGTTGGCCACAGGAAACTCGTCTGCCATGAGAGTTCCGCTGTCTCCCATGTGTCGTTGCCCCAACCTGGGTGATCACATGCTGCTTAGTCAACCTTCACATGTAGGGCAACTTCGGCAATTATTTCTTCAGGGCACCCCTTTTTGGGTTGATGCAAAGGGAAACCATGCGTAAAATGACCATTTTCTGGACCCCCTAAAAAAGTCTCACGCAGTTTGGAAGGGAGGACCACCAGACCTGACTTTGATGCCCTATTGTGACTCCAGGTCCATGTTTGTGAGACATGGCCTTACACAAAAACATTGACCGGGTGTGCAAAAAAGAGACCCCCACAATATGGATGTGTTGTTCCAGTGGGATTCCTTTCAAACCAACTTCAAAATGGGCGCCGAGCCAAAAACAACGCACGACAGCAAGGCCATGTAAACCACCAAGTTTGACTTTGATGCCAACACACAGATCTAAACCATCTAACCCCTTGCTTGTTTTGTTGGGAGCTTTTTTCTCAAACCCGTTGATGGATGGACGGGGGACGGGGGCCCAGCGCCAACCCGCGGGCGCAATGCCCCGGAGCCTCGGCCAGCTGCTTGCTGCCGGCGCTCCCCGCGCGCTGCAGCGCCTTGGCCGCGGCAAGCCCGGCGCGGCGCCGGGCCGCGTCCCCGGGCTGGGGGCGGCGGAAGAGGCCGAAGCCTCGGGGAGAGTTGGGGGTTTGGTGGGGGGAAAACCTGGAGGGTTTCGGGGGGTTGGGTTGGGGGCGGGGGATGGGGTGGGGATGGGGTGGGGGAGGGGGGGGAACACCCAGGAAGACATTTTTGGGGGAGGACACCAACGGAAGCTGAGAGCGTAAGCAAGAGAGCACGAGACCATGATCAAAGTCAGCCCCTAAAAGGTTCTGACTTTGACAACCCCCAGCAACCGTCAAAATCATGAAGTCCTGGCCGTGGAAACAGGAGCGCCCCGCGCCTCGTAACCCACCCGCAAAACGGCCAACGCCCGAACCGAGATCGCGCGCCAACGCGTGCCAAGCGGCGCATGGCCTCCAGCGCCTTCGGCAGGTGTCGGGTCAACTTCTGGAGCACCGCGCAGCCGCCGGCCACGCCTTGCTCCAGGTGCTCGCAGAGCCCGGTCAGCACCTCAGTCGGAGTGCGCGCCCGGCTTGGTACACAACAAGCCACGTGGAAGCTGACAGAAGGTCGGATCCCTTTAAAAGGGAAAAATATGTAGATGTTGACAGGAGGGAGGGTGACCTCCTTTTTGGGTGGGTGGCGAAACGCTCCGTTTTTGGGGAATCCCCTTCTGGTGGGTCGCAAAGGGCGAAAGCGAAAACTCGAAAGGAAAGCACAGATTTTAGGGGGGTTACCTCGACCATCAAAGCCATTACCACCCAAACCACCCAGAAAACCACAACTCTCAAGTTCACAAACAAAGCTTCCCACCCTCTCGGCCACCTAAATTGCCATACCTCTCAACCTATCCACCCCAACCCCCCCCCCAAAGCAAAGCTCCCTCCCCCCCCCTCAAACCCACCCCCACCCCAACCCCATCCCCCCCCCCCCCACCCGGCCGGGCCTCCAGCGCCCGCTCCGCCAGCGGGGGCTTCTCCGCGCCTAGCACCGGCGCCAGCGCCTCCGGGGCGCTCTGTGGGAAGCGCCGCAGGGCGAAGCCCAGCGCCACCAGCAGCGCCGGCAGCGCCTGCGCCATCCGACTTACCAGCGGCGGAAGGCTTCGCCGGGATCCCCAAAAAGCGCCCGGTTTCGGCTCCAAAAAGGGGCGGTTTGGGAGCCGGCTTTCAGCTTCCCTCAAAAAGGGCTGTGTGGAGCGCGGTGGTTTGGATTTGTGTTTTTGAACCCCTGGTTCTTTATGGGACCCCTTCACCAAACCAAAGTCTCGGGTACCCCCTACCTAGTGGTTTGGAGCCGAATCGGTGGCTTGGCGGTGTTCTCCACAAGAACCAGAGGCTCAGATCTAAACCAATCCAAGCCAGCAACTAAGGGTGTCCTTATCCTTGAGTACATGGCCCAAAAAACACCCAAACTTTGTGTTGACCACTGTTGACCACCAAACAGTGACTAAACTCCAGGACGTGTTTGAAGTCGAAGTTGGACCCAACAACCTTGACATTTTGGTATGGTTGTGTGTGTGTGTGTTGTTTTTGTTGAGTTCCGTTCATATGGGAGATGAAATTGAATTGGGCACCCTGTGGTGCGCATCATTTAGGCAGGGATTGATGTCCACCAATCATGGCTGGAGGGGGGCTTTCCTTCTAAAAAGCAAAACACCACAGGCACCGACCTTTACCAAGGTTGTGGGAAACATCCCGAAATGCGCTTAAAACCGTTGAGTGGTTGAATGCCCACAAGACCTCAGTACTCCCTTGGCCATCCATTTCTGACGACTTGGTCACAAGGTGGCGCCTCGTCCGAGTCGGCGTCATTGAAGCGCGCCTGAGATCCAAGGGCCAAAGGGACAAAAGAGGTGCGCAAATGGTATATAGGTTGAACCCCCAAGAAAAATGGTGTTCCTGTTGGTTTCCAGTAAAACCCACGAGAAAAAAGTACCCTAAAAACACGGCGCACCATGTACGAGCTTAGATTGGTTGGAGCCATTGGTGGACGAGATTGACCAACCAGTTTTGAGGGAGGGGGGGTTCGTTCTTGACAATTAGCAAGAACACCTCAGTCCACAGCAATCACCCCGCCCACATCTGCTTTGGGAGGAGTGCGACCAACGTCAAGGTCACTGGCATGGTCAGAATGAGGGCAACAAATCTGTGAGTCAGATCAGCCAGCAATGCATCTGCATCTCTACCGACAGGCCGAAGCCCACATCTGCTTTGGTGCCCCAAGGAAATTGCCACATGGCTTTGCCCTGCTCCAAAGGGGCAGCTCTGTTCCCAGGTTCGAGGCCCCGCCATAACTTCAAACCTTACGTCAAGGGGAACTGGTCTCACGTTGAAACCATCCCGCTCCAAAAGAAGTGCCTGCCCATTTGCTGATTTGGAGGTGTTAAGAAAAACCTCCTCGAACCTGGGCTGTCTCTTCCGAATACCCGAGAAACTCACGTTCGAACTTGTTCGGGCCCTGAGAAACGTTCAATGACAACACTACCGCTTGTTTTGAAGGACTAACGTTGAACCTGGGTTCTAACGAGGCAAGCCAACAAAGAGGTACTTCGTTTAAAAAACTTCCGGGTTTCCGCCGGCCTTGACCTTGCATCCGTGTTGTTTTGCAGGCATGGACCTCACATACTCCTGGCTTTTTTGGGCCTACTGCGCATAGTTTGTGAAATCCGTTTCGAATCACTCAAGAAACCCCATGGAGTTGAGACCATCAGGTTTCTTGGCATTTACCGTTGCATCGACTCATCCCCAACTGAGCTGACCTCAGATTCCCCGCTACTAAAAGTTTAACTTTTAGTGGGCCAAATAACACAAAAAAGCTAAAAAGCTAAGGGGATGGCTGGGAGCCACCAAGCCAACCTTTATCTGAACGGGTGGTGCCTTCGAAGGGATTTCGTCCATCGGCCTGGAAGACCCTCAGCAGCTCGCGGGCGATGGCCGCTCCCACACCACCCAGCCGCCTGCGACGCTTCAATCAGGTAGCAGACCCAAGCAATAGGCAGCCTTCACAGATTGTGCGTCTGTGTTATTTGTGTCTTTTTTGGAAAACCACAAAAGAGGGGGTACACTCAAACAAAGACACCTCCATTTGAAGATTTCAACCGGGAAAGTCAATGTGCGAACTGATGGAAACTCATTACAGGGTAGTTCTTGCCCTACAGTTTGCTGAGGTGGTCACAACGAATTATCCACATCGTCATGACTGATTAGCTTCCTCGGAAACACTTTTGAAGGAGCGCAATGGCTCTCAGTCTCTCGGTCCTTTGTAGGGAAGATGGATGCAAACAACATCCATACCCAACAAAGGGCTTGGTGACATGGCGCTGTCCGCTTGCTCACGAGGAACAAGCAAGAGGATGTTGGCCCGATAGAGAAGACCCGCTTCAACAGCTGGCGTCCAACGCTCCGGTCGGCAAATAAATCCGAAGCTGGAGGGACACCAAAAGCCAGGTCTGTCCAGTCGAAAATATGATCCATCTTGCTGGAACCGGCACCAGAAAACTTGGGCTCCGAACCGGCCGAACTTGGGCCAACCGATTGCCCATGGGTCAAACATGACTCAAAGAACCTCCTTTGGGTTTCCTTGAAAGGGGGCCCGCTGAACACTTGTTGCAACCAACCCTGGAGCCAACTCCTTGGAAAACATGCAAGGGGACGTCCTGCCTGCGCTTCAGGCCCTCCAGAAGCAAGCTCCTCAGCTTCCCAAGTTGCGCGGACTGGAGAGGAAAGCAGTGAGGCAGCATCTCACATAGGTGGCGAAATTCTTTACTCATGACTAAATTTGGCTTTAAGGTAGCCCCCGCCCATTCAAATGCTTTGGCCCGCTAGGTGGTTTTCTCGTGCTCCAATTGCTTTGGTTGTCTTCGGCTTTTTGTTCTTTCGCGTGCTTGATGTGGGTCACACCACAAATGCGCAAAGAGCAATCCTGCCCAACTGGGCAACCAGCAGCGCTGCAAGCGTCGTGGAGCAACTCCAATCTAACACTCGACCAAGAACCCGTCCAAGCTCCGCCCAGGCGGCTAAAAGCCAAACTCGTTTGGGACGCACAGTGCCGCTTTTCACCAACACCGGAAGCAAAAAACACATCCAGCTCTAGTAACAAATTCCCATATCCAAATGTTGGTTTCTTTCATTTCTTTTCGACCCCAAACTGCAAAGCCAAACCAACTTGGGCCACGGTCTGAAAACCCCAAGACCCCCCCCCAAAAAAAAAAGCCCCTCGTTTGGAAAGTTGACCCCACCCCAAAACATGCCGAAGCTCGAGGCCACTAGGCCCAGGTCTGATGGCTTGGCCACGGTGTCCAAATCACCTCAGGCGCTAGGTCCTTTTTGTGAACCCGTCATGTTGGACCCTTTGGATGTTGTTGGTTTTTCTCCCAGAGATCCCAAGCCAGAACTAGCGGCGAATTCACCCTGAAACTAGGGGTTCGTACCTGCGGACGTATACTGTCAGCCTTTGATCCAAGCATGGAACGCTTTTTCCACCAAACAAAAGGTGGCTCCCTTCTGCAATTCAGGGATGGCATGTGGCTTGCACTTAAGGATTAATACTCATCAATCTTTGGATTAGCCATCAATTGGGCCTTATCAAAGAGTTGAAAAGCAGATGGCCCCCGCCACATCGGCTTTGCGGCCAAGGATTCTGTGTCCTCGTACTGGCTGTCTAAACTTTCCATGGGTCTATGACCAACCCGACGCCATCGTGGGGGACCCCGGGTCGAGCCCACAGAACGAATCGGGCCGCCGGGCAGAACTCGCAGGCGCAGGCGGCCAGCCAGGCGGCGCGCAACAAGCCGGCGGTCTCCACCTGAAAAAAGTCAGCTTGTCAACAAAATCACCCCAGCAAAAAATCGCCGCCCCCCTCCACACATTTTTTTTTTTAAAGAAGGGGGGCACTTCAGGGTGAGTGTTGGTTGGACCTCGGATCGTGCTTCGGCGCCTCTGGCGCCGCCACCAGCACCGCCAAGGCTGGGCGCAGGTGTCGCAGCACCGGCTCCAGGTGGCCCTCCTGGCGGGCCCCCGTCCGCCTCCCCCGTCCCCCCGTCCGTCCCCCCGTCCGTCCCCCCGTCCGTCCCCCCGTCCGTCCCCCCGTCCGTCCCCCCGTCCGTCCCCCCGTCCGTCCCCCCGTCCGTCCCCCCGTCCGTCCCCCCGTCCGTCCCCCCGTCCGTCCCCCCGTCCGTCCCCCCGTCCGTCCCCCCGTCCGTCCGTCCCCCGTCCGTCCCCCCGTCCGTCCCCCCGTCCGTCCCGTCCGTCCCCCCGTCCCGTCCCCCGTCCCGGCCCCGGCAAGAGGAACTCGGTTCAAAGAGGTGGGGTTCCGGGTGGGGTGGGGTGGGAATTTCTGCTTGTGGGCTGTTTGTGGGGTGAGGGGCATGTTCAGGAGTTTAGGAGTTTCTGGTTCAGGGGGGTGCATGTTCAAGGACAGGGTCGACTTGCAGCTTCGCATAAGGGTACAGAAAGGCCTGCATCTGGCAAATGGAAGGGACACTGCAAGCTGTACAGCTCGAGGGTGGGGGTTTTTGGGAACTTCTGTTTCCGGGGTGAGAAATTTTCAGGTTCTGTTTCAGGGGTTAGGGTATGTTCAGGAGTTTCCGACTCAGGGGGATTCATGTTCAAGGAAAATCCATGAAACCGTACTAAGAGTGCGCCCTGTATTCTGGACCGTCCGTTTTCTGATCTGCGAACAGTTGGCAGCTTGTGCCGCACCAACAAAAAAACTCAGAAAATTAAGGGGACGGCTGGGATACGCCAAGTAGTTCATCTGTATTTTGTTCGATCATCCCATCGCCCCACATGTTCACAAGCGAAACTGGAACGTGGCACGGAACCCTTCGATCCGAGTCCATGGGTGCCGAAGGCTCCCAACGGACTGCGGGTCGTTCTGCATGTCTTTATGGTTTTAAGTATCGCTTTCAGTGGAATACGATTGATCTCATAGATCTCTCGGTTGAAGTCGTGGTGAATTTCTTTGAGTTTGGCATGCGTGTGCTTCGGTTGAACACGATGAGCATGAAAATGCCACAAGTTGATGCTGCACAACTATGCATTATAGCTTCGAGCGGGAAGCGGTTGTCGGTTGCTCCACGTAATTCTCCTTCCCCGCACCCCTGCCCCTTCCAGTTTGTTCCCCAGAATGTGCGACCGGCGGTTTGAGATCTACAGAACCCCAAAAGACCAGTCATGGCTTGAAGTGAGCAGTATTGAATCCCACAACCAAAGCGCCGCAAAACCAAAGCAAAAAGCAAAAGCACTGCAAAACGCACACAAAAACAAAACACGCAGCAACACCAAAAAGCCAAACCAACAAAACAAAAAACAAAAACCAACAAGCAAAGCCCCGAAACATCTCCGAACCTCATCTTCCCCCCCGCCAAACTTCGCCGGGTGTGCCGCCCGCGCCGCCAGGCAGAGGCACCGCATGGCCGGCCGCGCCAGGCGCGAGCTCTGAGATGAGCAGAGCTCGTCCAGGCGGCCCTCGACTCGAGCTCCCGTTTTGGGACCCACTGGCCCCCCCAAAAAAATAAAAATCCGCCGACATTGTTCGGCGTGTCGGATACCCTAAGAGAGGACTATTGGATACCTAAGAGAGGATAGAGGATACCCTTAGTCCCCCCCCGGGACACGTCAAATACGCATGGTTTTTCGGTCGCCACCCCCCCCCCCCTCCCCCGCGTACCGCGCGGCAATTTGATGACGCTCCACTAAACGCAGTCTTCGGGGAGCGGGTCTGGAGAAACGGGGGTCCCAGGCTCGAATCCTCCCGCCGCCTCTTTCTGCCGGCTGAGGTTTTGTGCTGCCTTTTGCGGAAAACTTTGAGACACACGGTGTTCGGTGTTTTTCCTTTGCTGACACCATTGAAAAAAACATTGTGTTTTCCGATTTCCTTGACAATTGGCACCAATTTCCCCCCAATTTCCCCTAATTTCCCCCAATGCTTCCCCGCAAATTGCGCCTTACTTTCTCACCGATTCCCTCCCACTTTCCTTTCAATTTCCATCCGACTTCCCCCCCATTTCTCCCCCAGTTTCCCCCAAATGTCCTGGCAAATTCCCCAGCCCCAGCTTCCTTCCAAGTGTCGCCCCCAATGTCCTTCGTGTCGGATACTTGGCCGACCGTGCGGCAGTTTCATGACACTCCACTAAACAAAGTCTTCGCCCTTGCGACTTGTCACGACCCTTGCGATGCCCCGGAAAATCCTGTCCTGTTCACACCCTTGCGTCTTGTCACGACCCGTGCGATGCCCCTACGGGACCCCATGACGAGTCTTCAATCACTGGAAGCTGCCTTGTGCGGAAAACTTTGAGACACACGGTGTTCGGTGTTTTCCCTTTGCTGACACCATTGAAAAAACATGGTGCTTTGCGATTCCGCCGACATGACGTTCCACTAAACGTAGTCTTCGGGGAGCGGGTCTGGAGAAACAAACATGGTGTTTTGCGATTCCGCCGACATGACGTTCCACTACGTGTCGGGGAGGATGGGGGAACCAGAGAGGACAGAAGAGCATACTAGGGGGACACGGGCGAGAGGAAGAAGGAGACAAGCTAGATGCCAATGTCTGGCGGACTGAGCCGGAGGCTCTAAAGTAAAAAATGACCGGTTTGGGTGGCTCGGCTTGTGTTTGAGCCTCGGTCATTTGTTTTGGGATTTACTGGGTGAAGATGTGGTGTCCCCCTTAGCACTCTTGGTCGCCGTCCAGGGCGCCTCAGGGTCCACCATTCTGTTCCCCTCCAACTGGAACCCCCCCCCCCCTCCCCCGCAAAACCTCAAAATGGCCCGCCTTTTGCGTGGCTCGTCTTGTTTTTGTGCCTCGGTCATTTCTGTGTGTGCTTTTTCAGGGAGATAGGAACTCGAGAATTTGTATGTAGGTGGCGCCTAAATAAAAGTGGCTTTCGGCTTTCCTCTTGGTTGCCATTTAAAGCCTCCCAAAAATGGGGGGGCGCAACAAAATGACACACCCACTGGTAAGCAAGGGCAAGGGAAATGGAACTGGGCACCTACGGCAATTGATTAATGGGAATGATCTATCCATTTTACCTAGAAGGGAACCACTAAAGAAAAGCACATTGCTGATTACCTACTTGTTGGTGTCAACTGAGATCCATCCGCCGCAAAATCCCAACTGTACCAAACTGGAATATCTCTGAATCCTTGGTTTGAGAGACTAGCCCTTAGCTGTTGAATTGTTTGCCACATGTTTCACTCCAACAAATATTCCTTATGCAAACCCTTTTAGCCGTAGCTCATGTTCTTGTCAAGTTATATCCCATCCGTTGCGACTAGCGCACCAATTGTGTGAACCGGTTCACTGCAATCCTCCAACAACAAAAGAAAGTATCGCGCTAATTCCCCGGAACATGGGCCCATTTTGTTGGGGCCGGCGGTTTTTTGGGAAGTTGGCCTCATCATTCCAGTTGACCAGCATGGGGGCCGGCTTGGAAGACTGTCCAGATCAAGACGCCAGTTTGATACCTTCCGCTTCACCGCAGACTAGGGCGCCGCACCCATGCCCAGGGCGACAATAGCCTTCGTGCCCTGCCCGGGCCTCACATGCCGGATAGAGCGGACAACGGAGTGGCTTTTTTGAGGATACCCCCGGCTTTTTAGGTAGATTTTCAAGGCACTCCCACTTTGCTTTTCAACCAAGTATGCGATTGTCAGCTTAGAAGAACAAAGTGACGATTAGGATCATCGATTGTGGGTCCACTTACGATTCTGTGCACTCCACACCAGGTCACTCCACAGGTTTTCCCAGTAGAGTTGGGCCACTCTCCGGTTGAAACACGTTTAAACAAATCTCGGCTGATGATCCCCTCCTTGTGGTTTCGCTTAGGGCGGTCTGGTTTTGCTACAAGCTATCTGGGTGAGCCTTTTTGGGAGTACTGTGATTTTGCTTGTGGTGTCAAAAGGAAACCACAAGGAAACCAATCATTCTTTGGGGGGTCTCCGCAAAAAATAATAAAACACAGAGTGAACCCTCGACCAAGGTCTTGCACGTCTCACAAGCGGGGCCCCCGCTGAGCGCCGCCAGCGTGTTGCCCAGCGCGGAGCACACCGACATGGCCCGGAGCTCCTACCAGGCGAGGGGAGCGAAGCCAACCCGATGTGGATCAAAATTCAGCAGCGGCCTGGGTTCCATACGCAGCCAAATGGGGAGCCCTTATGGGTGGTGTCCTTTTGGCGTCCTTTCCCCTTAGAAAACTCTGAGAGAGAGGAGTTTAGGGATATGACCTTGGAAATCCCTGCCTTTGAATGGTTGCCCCCGATAACGGCCAAGTCATACATCTGAATGTCGCAATAACTCCAAGGGTCGGCACAAGCCACAAGCCACGACCTTCTTAGTTCGTCTTACCCCAACCCATTCCTCGGCAGCGCTGGGCGGGGTACCCATGGCGAGGTACACTGAAAGTGTTCCCACGTGATCCACCTGGCGAAATTGATCGACCCGTTTCTCGGCGCTTCTGGGGGCAATTCGGCGCCGCCGCAACGGGAGAAGGGCGCACCAAGAAGAATTTTTGACGAACCCCGGTTGTTTCTCTGGTGGAAACTCTGCGCCGGCTGAGAGGAACACTTCCGCTATCATTGGGGTGAGACAATCCAAAAGCCATACTAAGCATGAACAAAAACTTGCTGGGCACCATTTTGCGGCAAAAAGTGAAGCTGCGGCATCAATAAAAACTTATCAGGCATCAAAGCTAGGATATCCGGCATGACTTGGGGGGAGGGGGAGACTGCAGGTTGATTTAACGTTGTTTGCTTTAGGGTAGGCTTGAGGTGGCGCAGGTTTCGGGCTGGTTTCGGGTTTAGAAGGAAGGAAAGAAGGAAGGAAGAAAGGAAGGAAGAAAGGAAGGAAGGAAAAAAGGAAGGAAGGAGGGGCCTCCTAAAGAAAGGCGGGGGGTTGGGCCGCAGCCGCGCGCAGCCTTCCCAGCCTTTCTGCTTGCCTTCCTCACGTCCTTCCTTCCTTCCTTCCTTCCTTCCTTCCTTCCTTCCTTCCTTCCTTCCTTCCTTCCTTCCTTCCTTCCTTCCCTCCTTCCTTCCTTCCTTCCTTCCTGGCGGGTGGGGGAAAACAAAAACAGTACGGAGTCGCCTATCCATAACACGCTTGTTGCCGCTACTGCTTTGACTTATCTAGCACTGCCACACACACATGGAGGCTTAGTCCTGTTTAAGCAATGGACAAGAATAGGGTTTGCGTTCCTGCGTTCCTGCCTGCCTGCCTTCCTTCCTTCCCTCCTTCCCTCCTTCCCTCCTTCCCTCCTTCCCTCCTTCCCTCCTTCCCTCCTTCCCTCCTTCCCTCCTTCCCTCCTTCCCTCCTTCCCTCCTTCCCTCCTTCCCTCCTTCCCTCCTTCCCTCCTTCCTTCCTTCCTTCCTTCCTTCCTTCCTTCCTTCCTTCCTTCCTTCCTTCCTTCCAGCAGGGATGCACGCTACAGGACATAAAAGGCACATTTGAGACACAAGCAAGGATGCACGATTTGATTTGCAACGGATGGCAAGCAATCTAGTTTGAAAGAAACGATCATGTATCCAAATTGGTTTGCAACCCAAATGCCCAGGCGGCTCCTCCATGCGCTTTGCGCAGCAGTTTTGGAACTGCTTTGGCGCACACGGCACCTCCGCAGCAGGCTGGTGACAGACCTGCTTCACGAACAACACCTGAAAAAGCTAGAAAGCCGCTCGTCCAAAAGGGAACAAGACCCTGGCTCTTGTGTTTGATGCGTTGCGGCACAGCTTGCCACTCACTGCAATTGCAGACATGAGAGTGATGGACTCAGCCACTCAGCCATTCAGCCATGGAAAAAACAACATTGACCCATTGGGTGCATTCAGTGCTTGAGTCATTCAGTCAAAGAGCCAAACGTCACCCTCGGAAAAACAAAGGCTCCTTCCAGCACGCCTGCGGCTGCCTGAAGTGGCCGGACATGCTGTCCTGGCGCCACGTGGAGCTCAGCCCGTTGCGCTCGAACGGGGTGTACAGAGCGCCCTTGGATGAACAAGCTGCATTTGGAGTCTGGAGGGGCTCTCCCAATCACACACGCATGGAATCGAATGGCATGCGAGATTGCAACAGCGACCCGAATCCCTCAGCTTGGCGCCGCCAGCAACCACACCACAAGATCCCACCTGACGTTTGCACGATGTAAGCTGTCCCAGTACGGATAAGTAAAAACCGGCGGGTCAAGCGATAGAATCCGCGTTAGCTTGTACTGTGTTACAGTCGGGTCACCAAGGCAGCAATAGCCTCTGGCCGCTTGAGTTGTCTTGAACCTCACACTTATATGGTTACCAGCCGTAGACGCACGTCTGCGACTTTTCGCCTAGTTGTGCTCACAGTTGATTGGCTACCAGGAAAACCCCACAGTCGTTGAAGTTTTTTTGTGAATGAATGCCGCAAAGTAAGCGGCTGCCAAACTTGTTGCGCGCTTCGATTTCAGTGGAAACTTGCCTCGTCAGACTCTGACTAGCCCCTGTGATTGGCAGGCATGGGAATATGACTTTTGGCTTAGTTGACCACTAGTGACAAAAAGCCGTGGATTCCGTCCGTGAACAGCGAACGTCCAGCATTGAGCAAACGTGAGATTCCTGCCAAGCTTCGGACAGCTGCATTTGAGAAATACAACGCCAAGCAACCGGGGAAGTAGCACGGCACACGCTGACTCAGCTGGCCAGCTTTGTAGCACGGCGATTGCAGCTTGGCGCACTGGCCAAATGATGGAAGGTGACAAAAGTAACACGCCATGAATTATGGGCTGTGTCGCACTGATCTTGGGCTGAAGTAGTCATCCCGATTCATCACACTTGAATCGACGAGACTCAAATTAGAACGCTGGGCCGCCAAGGCCTTGCAGACAGCGAACGCATTTGCGGCGGCATTCCGCATGGTTGCCCCTTGGCTCGCTTCAAACATTGACCTGCTGCCGCCGTTGTATTTTGGCCTGTGGTTGAGGGCATGAAGTGACAGTGGGCACTTCGCTGTAGATTGCAACTACTGAGTCACACCAATCATTCAAATTTTGATGACTCAATCGTCATTATGAAACCATCAGTGGTTGCCAGCCGACTGATATCGCGCACCCTGCGCCAGCTTGGGTTGAACTGCAGCAGCAGGCTCACGTGCGGGCGCCTTGCCGCCTTCAGCTTATATCAATGTAGCACGACTCAGTCAGACCAACAACCCAAAGCCTTCAGCGTCACTGTTACTGTCTGACTCTGACTGGTTGCACCTTGAACTGAACTTGAAGCGCAGAAATATAACCGGTGAATCGGTGCAAGTGCCTTCGTCAAAATGTCAACTTTATTGCTTTGACAGCGAGGCAATGTCACTGATGAGTTGGGTGTCATCTTAGATGATGTTCGACGGCTCCAGCAACGGCATGACTCCAGTGGAGCTGTTCCACTTGAGCTGAGTTCCTTCCTTCCTTCCTTCCTTCCGTCCGTCCGTCCGTCCGTCCTTCCTTCCTTCCTTCCTTCCTTCCTTCCTTCCTTCCTTCCTTCCTTCCTTCCTTCCTTCCTTCCTTCCACGCTGTTGCCTTGAGAATAGCGATAAGTTTCTTTTTGATGCCAATAAGTTTTCTGTAACGCCTATCATAAGTGTTTGTGATGCCTAATAAGTGTGTCTGATACCTGATACTGTTTTGGACACCTATCCTATCGTTGCTTGAGGGGGTTCATGTGGAGAGTTGCGAAGTCAAAACCCGGGAAGTTGAAGGTTGGGTAAGGAACACAATCGCCATGGTGGTTTTGAGAAGATTCCCCTCTTGGGCGGCGGGGTTTGATGGTCCATGAGCTTCCCTCATGGAGGCCCGGAGTACTATTGCCACCAACCCCTTGTACATGATACAACCATCATGTTCACACCTCCTTGTGGTTTCCCGTTCAAATGTTTTTACATCCGATAGATGTTCTGCTTGCAACCAAAACGTGCCACGCGAAAACGGGCCCATCCAGTTGGGATCCGATGGGGAGTGGGGTTCTAGAAAAGGAACCCAAAAAAAAGATGGCCCTATCGAACAATGACACACCCAATTGACGTTGGGCCAGGTCATTCTTACGCCGAAAAGCTGTGAACCCTGCCACAAGGGTTCAAAAAGCCTCAACACTACTCAACACATTTGCATGGAACCCAGAAAAGAAAAAACAAACACATCTTCAAGCAATACTTAATAGAAACCCCTTTTGGGTGGCCACCTGTTTCCGTGGTTTCTCAAGGCCCTCGCCAGCGTCCCTGGGGCATCCGGCCAGGGCGTCCGGCGCCGCGGCGCTGAGCGCCAGCAGCGCTGTGGCGGAGGCGGGGGGCGCGGCGGGCAGGGCCTCCAGCAGCGCCGCCACCAGGGCCTCGAACTCTGAGCGCCGAGCGCCCAGCCGACGGCTGGGGATGGGGTGGGGTGGATGGGTGGGGATGGGGTGGGATGGGGCGGATTGGCGGGGGTTTTAAGGAGGAACTGGACCCCCGCAAACTGGTGCCGGAAGAAGAAAGCACGCTGTATTTGTCCTTACTGTTGGGGATTGGGGGGGGATCGGCCAAAAAAAAGGGCGCCCGGACTTGTTTGTTTACCAGCAGAATGGTCCAAGCCCAAAGAGTGAACTCAGGGAGTGAGTTGAAGCGAATTGAAGGGCCCCAGGATGTTTCCCTTTGCCCATCCCATTGCCCATCCCAGTGGTTCCTTTTCTTTGGGGCTTGCCGCTGCTGGGCAAAACATGGAGCAAACTCCAAGGCCCTAGATTTCTCTTTGCCCATTTAGACATCACCTTTTGGTAGCCACCTTTAGATGAGTCTTCCTTTGGGGTGATGTTGAAGGGGAACTGGGTATGTCTTGAAGGGGAACGCCCAAGATGGTTGGTCCCTGCGAAAAGTCAAACAAGGGCACCCTCAAAACAAGACAGCCTCACATCTGGGCCAGTCAGAAAAGCAGCAGAGTTTGGGATGTATCCTACACCTGGCGAACCTCCAGACGGCTCTGTCAGGGTGGGGCCATCTGCTTGACCTGTGTAATCCAGCGCGCCGAAGAGGTTCAGATGGTCGGTTAATCCACTTTCGCCCACCCAATTGGCCTGTAATCTTCA